ATATACCATTTAAAAAAGTAGTTTTGCCCGGAAGAGTCAAATGTGGTGGCCCGGAAGGGGAAATAGTGGTGGCTCATGGCTGCCGGAAGAGAAAAAAGCTAATATGTGGCCCGGAAGGGGAAATAGTGGTGGCTCATGGCCGCCTGCCTTCCCCCGCTCCTATTGCCGGTCACTCCCTTAAAGTGAATTCTGCGTATAAAAAAATTTTATATTTTGAAAAAGAAATTACTTTATTTAAATAAAATTGAATTTTTTTGTGCAATATGACATTTTTTTTTATTCAGTCAAGTTTTTAGTTTAGGCGTATCATGTGTAGACCTATAAGGTCAATCAGATTCTACCCGTCCTTGTTTAATGACGAAATAGAAAACTTCTAAACTATCCCTAACACCCGAGCCGAGAGTTCAGTAACTCCGCTTCTTCCACAGAGCACACAGCTTACCAGCTTACGTAGATATTTTTCCGGTCCAAGTAATTGTTGCGTATTTTTTTTTTGTTATCGAAGGAATAACTACTTTTTAAAGGATTTGTAAGGATAATCGATGTCCATTTATGTCGTCTTCCTGTAATTCTTTTCTTGGATTTTGCGAATCCAAATGAAATGAAAACCTCAAGACATATAGAAATTAATAAATAGATGTAGAAATTAATAAATATCAAGGAGTAGTTGAACTATATACGAAAAGTGGGTCTGTCCTAGTGAACAAATTTTGCCCGGTAATTTCCTAGTATACGATTTTTGGACCCCCCCCCCTCCTATCAATTTTGTACATGACCAGATAAGCATTTATTTAGCATTATTTAGGGTTAGGTTAGGTTAAGACACTTTCTGGGCCGAGCGCTGCGGCCACGGGTTAGGTTAGTTAAGACACTTTCTGGGCCGAGCGCTGCGGCTAGGATGGGCTAGGGGGCCGAGCGCTGCGGCCACGTGTTAGGTTAGTTAAGACACTTTCTGGGCCGAGCGCTGCGGCTAGGATGGGCTAGGGGGCCGAGCGCTGCGGCCACGTGTTAGGTTAGTTAAGACACTTTCTGGGCCGAGCGCTGCGGCTAGGATGGGCTAGGGGGCCGAGCGCTGCGGCCACGGGTTAGGTTAGTTAAGACACTTTCTGGGCCGAGCGCTGCGGCTAGGATGGGCTAGGGGCCGAGCGCTGCGGCCACGGGTTAGGTTAAGTTGAGACACTTTCTGGTTAAGTTAAGTTGAGACACTTTCTGTAAGATCCATGTACAAAATTGATGGGGGGGGGGTAGTCCAAAAATCGTTCTCTAGGAATATACCCGGAAAGTCCCTGTGTTGTATAAAATAGTTCAAATAGGTGAATCTAGCTCAACTACAGCTCGTTTTCTCTAAATTTCCAAATACTTTTTAGGCGATGTTTTACAACTCTTATAAAGATCTGTCAGCTACTGGGTGGAGCCGCAAGGTATTTTTACGTTACTGGTTGCGAAATATTTGTGAAAATAAAATTTTATGAACATTTTTCTGATCTCATATTTTATATTATTATTTTTATTTTTTCTTTAAATTTATTTATAAAATTAAATTATAGTGGGGACACAACCAGTAAAATGATGCTCGATGTTGCAAGATCAAATGTTGAAAACGTGATCAAGGTAACTAAAAAAAACTTTAGAAAATTACCATAATTTATTATTTTAAAAGAAATTATTTTATTTTTTATATTTCAGGCGGAAGTACAAAAGTTAAGAAATGCTTGAAGTATTTTGAAGTTTTGACAAACTTTGAAAACCTAGACCTGTGATTTCTATTTCGTACAAATAAAAATATGTGACTGAAGCAGGATATAGTTGTTCAGTTCAACACTACTTGCTCTAAAGGCTGTCCTCCTCCATATACTTCAATTACTCATTGGGTAAACCTTTATTTCCCCCTCCTCCATATACTTCAATTACTCATTGGGTAAACCTTTATTTCCCCCTCCTCCATATACTTCAATTACTCATTGGGTAAACTTTTATTTCCCCCTCCTCCATATACTTCAATTACTCATTGGGTAAACCTTAATTTCCCCCTTAAACTAATCTGTATAGATGTGAGGAAAATATTTCTATCCTTCCTTTCAACTGCCTTCTTTTTGACTGCTGTTTAAATCCGCAAATTATGTTTACGGTAAATTATCAATTTGTAATCAGGAAAACAAGAATATTTTCCCAAGTTTTTCTCAAAAATATTTAAAGTGAGCGGATTGGAGGACAGAGGATCACTGGAAATTACGTTGACAGTCCCTTAAACCTTGAGAAGTTTGCCACAATAGACCTGTTTATCTGCCTCTCAAATTAACAAATATTTCAGATAATTATAAAATAAATATGGTAGAGGAGTCGGCTAGTGTTCTTACACCTCCGGGGAAAAAGATGAAACAAGCCAGACTTCCCTTCGCTCCAGTTAACAAACAGTCAAGTAAGTTTCTTCAAAAAAATATAAAAAATCACTCATTTTATTTTATCAGTTTTGTGCTCAAATATAAGACATTTGGACATAATGACTTTACAAAATCCCTGAATGATGTAAATATCTCCGTCTTTTCTTTGACAAAGTTTAAAAGGGCACAATTTTGAAACTAGAATTTAAAACGTTGAATGTCCCTTTAAAAGCAATATATTTAAATGGTGTTCTGTTTTCCTTGTATCTACTAGGAAATCCTAATGCCGATACTTAAGTGTAAGATAGTAAAAATATGGAATGCTTGATCTCGATATTAACTGTGGCAATTTTTAAATTTTATGGCAAAGTATTTAAATTTAAAGCCACTATTGCTTGGGTTCCGACCATGGGATATCCACGAGTAAATAATTTAATCCTTCAACAAAGGATACGAGTAAAATTATTGTTTCAAGGATTAACAATTCAAAAGTTTTTATCCTTGCCCTTGAACAGTGTATTTGTTCAGCTGAAGGTGAAGAAGTGCAAAGGAAGAGAAAACTCTCAGATGCTGCAGCCGCTACTCCGGAACCAAAGGAACAAAAAAAAACAAAAAAAACCAATTATTTTAATAACCAGTGTTAAGCTGAAGTAAAGTTGTCTGTTTTTAGTTTTAAATTTACCAGAAGAAATTCTGAGTAAAAGCATTTTTCAAAGTGTCTTTATTACACACATAATTAATAAGAAAGCTCCAGGGTTTCAGATATGTAAAATTTCTTAAGAAAAAAATCAGGGCACATTATTCGAGTTTAACAAGTTACAACTTACCAAAACTTTAGTTTAGAGACTTCATCAAAAACCTTTGTTCTGCTTTAAACTGGTTATAATAGTATTAAGATTGTTTTTATTGAATCTATAAATTTTAAATAGAAATTTCTGTTTGTCTGGGTTTTGAACCCCCTGGATCTATTTTCTTCTAGTTTTGATTGCAAAACTCGTTAAACCACTGGAATATTCTTAGCTTGGTTTACACGGGAAATTTCGTTTCCACGCAGAATTGGGTTGCAAGGCTAGATCTGAAAAATATAAAAATTCAAAATTGATCTTTAACTTATGTTTTTCGATATTTAGACGAGTAAAATAGAAAAACTGGTTGAGTATGAGGAAGTTGGCGCAGAATATGTAAAAGGAAAACAATTCATTCTTATTTTGATTAAAATTAAAAACATAATTGATTGAAACCTTCTAAATATAGATCAATGTTTCATCTTATTTTGAAAACTACTTTATAGTGAGTAAATCCTTTAAATGTTTCTAAAATACACAGTACACATACTACTTTATAGTGAGTAAATCCTTTATATGTTTCTAAAATACACAGTACACATAATACTTTGTATTGAGTAAATCCTTTAAATGTTTCTAAAATACACAGTACACATAATACTTTGTATTGAGTAAATCCTTTCAATGTTTTTAAATAGCCTTAAAATGTCAAAATTATCCTGCATTGTTGCATTATTTATTAATTAATGGATTGTTTGTATCTAGACTCTACCCTGGAGAATAATAGTAAATCTAAATCTGAATCCAAGGTTGGAGAACTCAAGGAAAATGGTAAGCTAGGAGGGGTGTACTGTAGATAGTAGTATGTTTCATTAGCACCAGTTTATTCTAAAATAATGTTTCCAAACTTTTCCTGTATAATTCTTTTCTCTCTTCTCAAGTTCTTCGGATTATTTTCATTCTTAAAATAAGTTAATCACCATTCATAAATTAACTAATTCAGACTTGTATTCTTTTGAATGAAATTTCTTCTTTCACTTTAAAAAGAGTTTTCGAAGATATTATTAATCATGGTTTTATTACTACTGTAGTGTGCAAGAGAACTGTAAAAGATAAGAAAGCTAAACCTGAAGTTGAAGTTGTACAGTTAGATGAGGATTCTGTTCAGGTATGTACACTGTACAGTATAAACAAGACTGTATTTAAGTACAGTATTGCATTGTAAAGTGTACGCTGTATAGTTCAAAATCTTAGATTTAAAATAAAACTCAAAATCAAGAAACTACTTCATTATAAGAGAAATGAATAAAACAACTTATCTTTTTTTGAATGAGCTTCATAATACATTTCGAAATAATGTTTTTCTTGGAGCAGTTGCTAAAGACTAAGATTAATTAAAGGGCATCTGAATAATCTACTTTTTTTTAAAAGATATATGTTTGTATAGGAGCGTCCTGAGACTATGAAAGGTCGAGTGAAGTTAGCGTTCAAGAAGAATGGGAAAAAGGAAAAGAAGAATTCTGAGGTTTGTATTATTATTATTATTAAAAAACACTTCTGGGGATGTTCTGGTGCCCAAGGAAGTCACACCCATCAGTACTTCCCCTCACGATACGTGTGCAACCATTTCTGGGGTCGTCTGTTTGTTAATTGCTTAGGGGATGTCCTAATTTAAACCCTGGATATAAGCGCACCGGGTGTAGGGATTTTCGGGAACCTGAGTAAGCCAAATCCTCAGGTTGACATTCACCAACCCACCCACCCCCTCTTGGGACACAGGCCCAGTGTTGAGGGTAGTTTATTTCTGTGTAAAATCGTTTCCAATCGCAATTTCAATAAAATTTATTAAGGAAATATATTGGTCTGGCAACTAATCTTCTTTTTAAATATTACTTTGTTCAATTATTACTCCCCTGTATTTGATAAATTGATATAATTTCTCACCTCACAGATGTTGGGTTCGAATCATCCATCTCTCTACTATAGTATGTATGTCACGAGCCCGGTTTAGCAGTTTCAGTCTCCCACATCCATCCTGTCCCAGGTATCGTCTCAGGATGTAATTGTTGGCCTTCCCCGGGTACTGCTGTATATAGTTAACTGGTCCAGCCTTCTTTCTCTCCTCATTCGTTGCTGGGCATTCGAGTATCATGTGCGCTTCATTTAGCCTAACATCTGGGCCATTTGCACTACATACTGGACACAACTTCCACTGGTTTCCATACTTATTTATCATATAATTTCCTAGTTGAAGATTGCCAGACCTGGCCATGTTTATGATTTTACTCAGCCTAGAGTGATTTACATGATCCTGCAGTTAGAACCATTCTCGAGGTTGTGGTTGAGATTGGAGTGAACTGTGTTCACGCTTGGCATCTAGGACGTTTTTAATGGCCATATCGTTAAATTTCTCATGCAGCTGCTTAAGATTTAGATCTGAGATGTTGGCCTCAATAGCCTCTTCAATTTCCTTGATGTCCCTGGCCCACTCATCCTCCTCTGGGTTCTCCATTGCTTCCTTGAGACATTCAGTAAGAATAGGATCTTGTTTCTTGTTAATCGCCCTCCAATAATATCTGGCCTTTCTCAACCAGATTCTATACTTCATGGGCATGAGTCCTACCTCTGTCCATGTGGATACTTTCGAGGTTGACCTGGGAACCTGCAGTATGAAGTTTCCAATTCCACCTGGATCTTTTCCAGAGCCTCTGTTGTTCTTTTGCAACTCTTGACCTGTCCAACTCTGCTCTAGTTAGGCTCATGATTGAATGGGCATACCTGCGCCGACGACACTTCATCTTTTTCCCTGTTTAAAATACACCTGCCTCGCAGTTGAATGTTGACTCCTAGGTATTTAGCAACTAAGGAATCTTCCAGTGTATCCTCCGAGTCCCCAATTCTCTATTTCTTACCCTGATCCCCTGTGGTGAGGACAAAAGATTTACTTACTGACAGACCCATATTCATACTTGTACAGAACTGGTTTAGTTGCCCTAGTAAGTAGCACATTCCTCTGATTGGAGTTTTGGACATCATTATCAAATCATCTGTGAAGAATAGTCCGGTCAAATGCACTCCACCAATTTCGATCCATAATTTTGTCTCTTCCAACCGGATCCCTAGTCCAGCAATAAATAATGCAAATAACAATGGTGATAGGGCACATCCTTGCTTAACTCCACATGTAAACCAGACCGGGGCAGACAAACCTCGGCTTAACTTAATTACAGCGTTATCATTATAATACGTTGACTGCACCATCCTGTAACACTTTGCCCCCAAATCCGCTGCACTCTAGTTCCTTATAGAGTCACAATCTATTGAGTCGTATGCCTTCTGGAGGTCACAGAATGCTACTGATATCCTGTACTTCCGTTTCTTAGCTTTCCTTACTGCAGCCAACAAAAGGAATGTACAATCTGTGTTTGACCTCCCTGGTCTGAATCCATATTGAATCTCCAAACAGGTTTTCTCTCTCACAAATCTTCAACATTCTATGGTTGAGTGTTTTGGTGATTACACTTAATTTTAAGCTGGAGACTATTATTGGTCGCTTATTTGAGGTTTTAAGTGATGCTTCTTTCTTGTCTACAAGTGACAAGTATTCAGGCACTCAGGCGTCTCTCCTGACTCCAGGCACTCATTAACCAACTCATTTAGCCTCTTATTAAATAGTTCTGACGCATTTTTATATAATCTGGTTGGTATCTCATCTACACCTGGTGCTCTCTTTCCTTGTGGCTATTTACCAGGTTTTGAATAAATCTTTCTGATATTGGAGCACACACTTCCGATTCAAGCTTTGTGCCATTATGATCTTTCCTAATCCACTCTCCGTGGTCCTCATGATGCACTGCATAAGCTGTTATGACCAGCTGCTCTCCTTTGAAGTCAAAGATTTCTGTCCCCTATTTATTTTTCCAAGTTCAAGTAGAACTACTACTTTTATCTGGAACTCTGATGACAAATCTACAAGTATTCAAGTAAGTATAAGTATCAGCTTCCTGTTTGTCACTAATTGTCCATCCGCATCCTCTACTGAACTCAAAGACGACATTTGTTTCATTACCTTCTTCAGCAAGGCCCAGAACTGTTCAGATTTTAGTAAAGTTTTCATCCTTAACTCATTCCGCCTCTTCATTTTATCATCTAGACTCTGAGCCCTGCATTTGTCGGACATGTCATGCAATTGCATTAATTTCTCACTCAGTTTTTGTTCCTCCTCTTCGTTCCAGATTGCGCCGGCCAATCTCCGTGCCGCTTTAGATATTGTTAATCTCTTGGTCGACTTTTCCAACCACTTTTGCCTGTCCTTAAGTTTTTTCAGGGACTTGCTGATCTTGACTTTTTTCCTCTTTTTCTCCCTTTGTCTAGGTTTACCAAAAATCTTCAGTCCTGCCTTTCTAATTACCTTTTACTTCTTGTTTAACTAATTTAAATTTTAAATAATTATTCGGAATTAAAAATAAAACATCATTAACTTGAAACATTTTTGACCTCATATATTAAAAACCTTTAATCCCTGGAAAAAAAACGGGATTTGAAGGATTTAAAGAATTTTTTTCCATGAAAATATACAAACCTTGTAACATCATCAAGTTGAGTCCAGTTCAACTCTCCTAATTTCCTAACTCTTCATCTGTTTGTAGAAGAAGGCGGATACTGACTCTGATATTGAGCTCCTGACTGGAGATGAGAGGGAGGGGGATGGTGAGGATACAAGCATGACGGAGGACTGGGCTAAGTTCCACCAACAAGAGATGGAGAAGGTAATCAATTTAAAACAAGAGTGTCCCATTGAGTTTGCAGTATTTTTAATGGATGTTTAATGGCGCCTAAAGCTTTCCCGATTATTCATGATTTGATTTGATTTGTTTTGGAGTATTTTTAAGGAATAAAAATCTACAGTACACTCAGCAGTACATAATTTCTAAATCCTTCCCCTGTTCCCCTGAAGTACCTGCATTAAATACCCCCTTATATCAATTCCCCACTAATGTTCTGTGATGTGTTAAAAAAAGCAAAAAAATTCTCTTTGGTTAAGAATTTAGATTTTTTATAACCCTTCAACCTAAGTTTTAGTAACTTCTCGAAACCCTGTTCAAAAGCAAGTAAAGATTAAAAATAGGATTAAGGTGTTAACTTTTTTTAGATTTAAGTTTTAAACTGCAAACGTTTCTGTAAAGAAATTGGTGCTTTAAAAAATATGACATTGAAGTCAGAAGTGATGTGAATTTATGTTTTTCGTTTTATTATTTTTAATAAATCCATGTTTAGAATCCTGGAGAGGGCCACACAAATAAAATAGAGAGTTTAGTTACACCTAAAGATGAGAAGAAACACAAGAAACCTAAACCAGTGTCGGAATCCACCAAATCTGAGGAGAAACCCAACCTGGAGCCGGAACCCACCAAACCTGAAACAGTCACCGAACTCAAAACCCCCAAGGGAACTAAATCCTCAAACAATGGAGCAAAGACTCCCAAATCTGACTCCAAGACTGCACCCAAAGCTAATCCATTGGCTAAATTCTTGGTTAAAATGAAACCCGGAACAATTCCTTCTAAATCTAAGGTATTTTACTTAAAGGAAACTAAGAATGGAAACTAATTTTAACAATCGAGAAATTAATCGCCATTGAAATTTTTTTTTTCTAATCCATCAAATGCTTGCAGAAAACTGAGACTGCTGCAACCAATGATGATGAAATTGAGATTATTGAAGTGAAAGAAGATGTTGAGAAGGAGAAAAAGGTTCTTGAAAAAGGAGACAAAAAATCAGCGAAGATCATGAAACAAAAAGCCCCGAAGAACAGCGTAGACGAGAAGGTAGAATAGAAAAAAAATACTCATGCACTCCTTTTCAAATTTATGATTGAAATTATTATTTAGGTTGAAGAAATAAAAACTGACGATTCAAAGCCTGATGAGTTCGAGACTAATGAATCTATGAGTGATGAGTCCAAAACTATTGAATCCAAAATTGATGATTCTACAATTGAGAAACTTAAGATTGATGATGACGTTGTTGCGGTTAATACATCTGCAAACATTGCTTTAGTATCAACTCCTGTGAACAAGAAGGTGCAAGGACTGAAAACTCCTGGCGGCCAGGGAACCCCTGAAACTCCTGCAAGTATACGGTGAGATTTTAGGGTATTTGCAATTGTTAGAATTTATGTTCTTATGCTCTTCCAAGTTTCATCTAAAAAGCATTTCGCATGTCATCCTGTGTATAAGTATTAAGTATCTGCATTCTGATAATATATTATGAGAAATTAAGATGAGAACACATACAGATTCTTTGATGATTGTTTTTTGTTTTGTTTTCCTGTCACGTTTTTCAATATTTCCACCAAGATGGATTTTATTGTAATGATTTTTTTTTCAAAATTGATCAGAATTGATTGAAGATTGTTGCAGGGCAAAGAAGATAGCGCTGACTAAAATCCGAGTAAAGATTATGGAACTAAACATGGATATGGAGGAGGCAGTCAAAGAGGATGATGTTTTTAACTCCAGTGGTGGGTTATATGGTTAATAATGGGGTTTCGAAAGAGAATGGGTCTTGGGTGGTAAATGACATTTAAAGAAATATATACCAAGTTCTGAAAAATATAGTATAAATATTTATTAAGGCTCACGAGTTAAAGCAGAAAATACAGAGCTTAGAAGCTGATCTGGAGAAACTTCAGGAAAATTCATGTAATGCAATAGTTTTCTGTTAATTTCCTCAATGTCTAGAGAAACCACATTTGTAAATAATCATTTTTTAGCAAGGCATATAAGGATTTCTTGTTCATTGTTAAGACAAACTTTAAAAGATAATTTAAATTACTTCTGTAGTGCTTTTGCTGTTATTTACTCCAACCCTTGATTGAATTATTTTGATAAATATCTGGATTTACTAGAAGGACGAACCTGGTACTCCTTTAAGCAAGGTGGATTCCACTCCAGGTAATACAAGGCTTTAGAGGATTCCCTAAAACCAAAAACTTCAGAACTAAAAGGAGAAAAGCTAATATCTAATGATATAATTCAGAATTTAGGGGAAGGGGGGGGTGATTTTTTGATGATAAAAAGGAAAATTTGGACATTAAAAGGCAAGTTTCTTCATTCTTTTTGTTACTTTTTACCCAAAAATTCATATATTTTCCCTAATTCAGCGGAAAAAAACTTTAAACAATTGTTCCCATTCCTCTCAAAGATGTATCACTAGTGTGGAATTAAAAATAATTTTCAAGGGGGGGGGGATTATTTTTCGAGGAAATATACACCCTGTAATATTTTAAAAATATATTATTTTGCTAAACTGAGAGGAGAAAAATGTTCTCCCAATATCGAACCCTTTTTTAATATTTAATTTCAATTGAGTTTCTAAATTATCTAAATTTTTCCCATTAAAGGGTTTTTTACTTGATTTCAAAAATTATTTTTGGGCCTAAACTGGAAACCTAAGTTGAAACTGTATCTACTCCAGGATATATGGGTACACAAGATCAGTTATTACTCCTATTTCAGGATCTGTAGATACTCCTACTTCAGGACCTGTAGGTACTCCCACTTCAGGATCTGTAGGTACTCCTACTCCAGGACCTCTAGGTACTCCTACTTTAGGATCTGTAGGTACTCCTACTTCCGGATCTGTAGGGACTCCATTCACAACTCCAGCTCTCAAATCTAAGAGTGCTAAAAAGGTAATTGATTCATTTCTGCAAGAAAACTTTGTATGCGGGAGAAATAAATCTTAATTTCTCAAATTTTTTTCTCCGAACTCCATACCTACCAACGAGAAAATAAATTTAACATGCCTTGAAATGAAATATAATCATGACAAGAAACTAACGAACCCTGCGACCAAAATTAATGAATTTCAAGAAGTTGTTAATGTACCTAAGTGCTCGTGTGTGCGGGTTTAAGTTAGTAAGATGTGGTTCAAATTAATCGACATAGTTTAACTTCTTCTTGTGATTCATTAAATTTATTCTCCGATCTAGGTTATGACCTCTGGAGAAGAAGTAACCCCTTCCAGTCTTAGGAAGCTGACCCCTAAGCAGCTGGCCCTGCAGGAGAAGAGAAGGAAGAAGGCCGAGGAGGACAAGGAGGAGAAGGAGAAGAAGAGACTGGCGCTGAAAGCTCAAAAGGAAAAGGAAAGACTGGAAAAGGAGGAAGAAAAATCGAAAGAAAAGCGTAGGAAGGAAATTGAACGAATTGATAAGGAACTACAGAGAAAGGAAAAAGAGCGTGAGAAGGAAAAGGAAAAGAAGGAGAAGGAGGTAGAAAGGTTGAAGAAGAAGGAGGAGAAGGAGGCGGAGCAGAAGAAAAAAGACGAGGAGAAGACCAAGGCGGAGGAGGCGGAGGCAGAGAGAAAGAAAAAGGCAGCTCAAGCTTTTAAAGGATTTTTTGTGAAAAAGGATGCTGTTAAGGTAATTTTAAGAAATTGATATAAATGATAATGCTACTAAGGACAACAGGAACAACAATAACGATAACTAGTAACGATAACAATGAGTAATATGATTTTAAAATATAATAACTTCAGGAGGTAAAACCTACTGACGAAGAGAAAATGGAAGAAGTGACGGAGAACATTTTCAATCCTTTCCAGATCAAAAAGAATATGAGATTAGCACCACTAGTCAGGTAACCGGAATCGAGGAGTCTCAGGGTTTTAGGCAGGGAGTTCATCTAGAGGTTTTCTGGCAGGTGTAAGACTGAATATGTGGAAAATTCCATTAAATAAAGGGCTTTTTGTTTTCTCCCAGATAAATCCTAGATGAACCACATGGGTCTCTGGGTTCCAGAGTTTAAGGAATCTAATGGTACCGGGATTATAGGAGTCTCAGAGTTCTGGGGATTTAGGGTACTATGGTTCAATGGTTCTAAGGGTACTATGGTTCAATGGTTCTTAGGGTACTGTGGTTCAAGGGGTCTTGGGGTACTGTGGTTCAAGGGGTCTTGGGGTACTGTGGTTCAAGGGGTCTTGTGGCACTGTGGTTCAAGGGTTCTTAGGGTACTGTGGTTCAAGGAATCTTGGGGTACTATGGTTCAAGGGGTATTAAGGTACTTGGGTACGTACCAGATTTTAGGGTTCAAGGGGTTTCAATGGTCAAGGATTATCAGAGAACTAGGATTCAAGGGGTTTCTGGGTTCAATGTATTATACCAGGGCTTAAGAAGTCTTAAGGTTCAAGCAATTTCATGGTACTTGGGCCTTAGGAGTCTCATGGTACCAGGACTCAAGTGGTCTTAGAGTACTAGGGTTCAAGGGGTCTCAGGGTACTAGGGTTCATGGGGTCTGGGCCTTTGGAGGGACCAGAAATGAAGGAGGTTTGGGGTTCAAGGGGTCTCAGGGTACCACGGTTAAAGGGTTCTCAGGGTACCAGGGTTCAAGAAATCGCCTTTATCAGACTCTATAAACATTATGTTCGCTGTCATCTCGAGTTTGCATCCTGTGTCTGGAATCCATGGACGAAAGCAGATTGTGATGTTTTAGAAAGAGTACAAATGAGAGCATTCTTCTTTGTGTCTGGATTAAAGGGATCAACATATGAAGAAAAACTCAAGGAGCTGAATCTTCAAACACTTGAGAATAGAAGAAAAAGAGCAGGCATGATTCAAACTTTTAAGATAGTCAATGGATTTGACAATGTTGACAAGAACACCTGGTTTAAATTTGTTAGTTTGAGAGAACAAGTCACAAGGTTAAATCAAGACAGTCTTAATCTTGTTAATCCTGTTGCTAAACTGGAGATAAGGAAGAATTTTTTCTCGCACAGATTTATTTACCTATGGAATGCTTTACCCTATGATGTTAAACATGCAAAAAATACAATCCAGTTTAAACAACTGTATGCTAAGAATCATTGAGAATGGAGTGGTTGCTGATTTAAGAAAAAATAAAGCTACATCTGATCTATAGCAGACCACACATGAAGAAATCAAGATATTCTCAACATTCCTATTTGGAAGATGGAGAATTACTTCACAAGTATCAGAGTAACGTGGTTCAAGGGGTCCTAGGATTTTCCTAGTCTCAGGATACCAGGTTTAAAGGGAACTAAGGGTACTTATTTTCCATGAATATATCTTAACACGTTGAACAAACTTGACAATTCTTAATTTAAATGTTTTCTTAGGAATGATACAGTCGCAGCCATGGGAAGAATTGATAGTCTCGAAGAACCAGTTGGTCCTGATGGTCTTTATGTTAAGCTTCTCAGGTATTTTAAAATTTTATTTTTGAATTTAAGGCCTGATTTTATTTTTATTTATTGAGTGATAAATGTAATGTTTTTTGGTGGGGATACTAAGGATAAAATATTGTTGTGTAGGGAAGGAAAGGATTAAATATTGTTGTGTAGGGAAGGAAAGGATAAAATATTGTTGTGTAGGGATGGAAAGGATAAAATATTGTTGTGTAGGGATGGAAAGGATTAAATAGTGTTGTGTAGGGAAGGAAAGGATAAAATATTGTTGTGTAGGGATGGAAAGGATTAAATAGTGTTGTGTAGGGAAGGAAAGGATAAAATATTGTTGTGTAGGGATGGAAAGGATAAAATATTGTTGTGTAGGGAAGGAAAGGATAAAATATTGTTGTGTTGGGATGGAAAGGATAAAATATTGTTGTGTAGGGAAGGAAAGGATAAAATATTGTTGTGTAGGGAAGGAAAGGATAAAATATTGTTGTGTAGGGAAGGAAAGGATAAAATATTGTTGTGTAGGGAAGGAAAGGATAAAATATTGTTGTGCAGGGAACGAAAGGATAAAATATTGTTGTGTAGGGATGGAAAGCATACCCCTGGGAAGCAAGGGAAGACCTGGCCCTGGGAGAAGGTTGAGGAGGATACAGATATCGAGATAGTCGAGGAGGAGGAAGAAGAGGATTTGGAGGTAAACTTAACATCTTAACATCTAAAACTAAACCCAACATGTATCCCCCAGACCGCTTTCACGGTGGAGCGCTACGGGCTACAGCTGCTTCTTTCAGTATATTAAGGAAGGACATCTATCTAGGATCTCTTTATAAACTGGAAGAAAGAAGATTTCTTATTTCTTATTTCTTATAAATTTAAAAACTGAGAATTCTTTTATCTCCAATTGATTTTACTCATACCGTCCTATCCTTTATTAAGTAAATTCTACCCGTAGGTTAATCCTTCCCAGTTAACTTAATCTAACCCAACCTTAGGTTATTGAACCCATCTTAACCTATCTTGGCCAAACTATTAAATGTTTTGTGAACTCGGATGTCTTTTAGAAAAAATTTGGTGTGCAAAAAAATGAAGTGATCAGTTTTAATTTGCTGCAATGAACCCTTGAATGAAGATCAATCGATCAATGTTATTGTCATCAATTATCATTGTTATTATCATTTATTGTTATACTTTTTCCCTCCATTTATCAACATTATTATTTTTATTTTTTATCAATGTTATTATTTCAATTTATACGTCAATATATCAGCATTAATTATATATATATATATATATATATATATATATATATATATCTCTAGTAGTTGTTTGTTTGAATGTCCAATCAGAATTCAGGAACCCCTTAACTGAGTTGCGTAAATTTTTATTGGGAAGCTCCGTAATCTAGGGAATGTTATTAGCTTAGTTAAAAGTTCTTAGTTGAATAAGTTGACTATTATAAGAGAAAATAAAGTTATCAATGATGTTACTTTAGAATATGGATGAGGGAGTGATGATACTGCAGAGTAGAGTAGGGAAGAATCCACGAGCTAAACTAATCCAGTTCCATGAGAACCAGCGTCCAGCTTACTGGGGTACCTGGAGTAAACAGTCCTCCGCTGTTACAGGACGAAAACCATTCGGTAGAGATACACAGGTTCGGTTTACAGAACTATTCATTAACAACAGGGGTAATATTTTCTTGAAGAAAAAAAGGGGGGCATAACACGTATTACTCTCCGGGAAATTTAAACAGTGTATAAACATAACTTAGCATTGTCCTAGGAGGCTGATTTTTTGCATGCGAGCTTAAAATTATGTATAATACGTGCATTTTTGGTTTTGAACGGATCTGAGCAAGAGTGCGCGCGCACGCGCGCTTTTTGTGAAAAAAATACGACTTTTTTGACAGTAAATCAATCTTAACTTCAAACATTTATCCTGGTACTCTTGAAAAAATATGCGCTCAAAAAATTCACCTCCAAAGCCTTAAATGTCCGCGCGCGCGCGCAATAAAAGAAAATATGTTTGAATACTTATTTGCTAAGTTTGGTCTAAGTCAGAATAAAAGTATCATGAGATACATCAAATTATAGCAAAATTTGGACAAGGAATTCATCTCCGAGGTCAAAATAGACATTGGAGCCTTCTGACCGGCGCTCTATTAGCCGGCAGTTACATTATGGGTCAACTTATCTCAAATTTTACATGTTGTATGTCGATTTATAGGTAATTGGGCACGAGGAATTCATTTTCTGAGGTCAACATAAATATTATAGCACTCTGACCGGCGCGCTAGTAGCCGGCAGTTTCATTTTGAGTTATCTTAGCACAGATTTTACATGTTGTAGGAGGCTGATTTTTGTTAGGTTAGAATAAAACTAGCATGACATAATACAAACTTTAGCAAAATTGGGACAAGGATTACATCTCCGAGGTCAAAATAGACATTGGAGCCTTTTGACCGGCGCGCTAGTTGGCAACCATTACATTATGGGTCATTTTAGCACAGATTTTACATGTTATATGTCGATTGGGCACGAGGAGTTAATTTCTTGGGTAAAAACTTTGGTAAGACCACATTGAACGACGCGCTAGCAGCCTGCAGCCACCTTCTGGGTCATCCTGTCATATTTTTTCATAGTTTGTTCAGGTTGTATATCAGGGTTTAGGTATAAGACCAGAGGAATCCATCTACGTGGAGTAAATCTGAACTAGCATTGGTTTATGCAACAAAAATCTATGACATACCAAAAAACATCTTCAAACTGATATGTTACCATATTTTAAGAATCTTGGTCACAAGAATCTAAAAAGAAACCATAAGAAACAATGCATGTTTGAAATGGAAAATGTCTTTATTTGCTACTTGTTCAAACCAGTAAATGTGATAACCTTTATCTGTAAAGAACATTCGACATGTCTAAATGTTTCTGTAAAATGTGTTCAGTGTAAACATTGAATCGAAGTGTACCTTCAGATAAGTAGGATTTAGGATGGAGGAACCTGAACATCCTGGTACACGTTTAAAATTTTTTGAGGATACTGCTTTTTTGGGAACGTAAATAATCTTAAGGATTACAAGCATTCAAGTTTCAGTTCAATTTTTTTCTTGTATCAAAGTTGAATGTGGTATATATGTAATAAAACATCTGTGGTCTGTTAGATTATTAAAAAAAAACCATGGTGTTCCTCCATCCTAAATCCTACTTATCTGAAGATGCGAGCGAGCTCATCAGAGTCCTCATACTTCATTTTTTACCTAAGAAATAGAACCCTTGTGTCTAGTACCCTAGAATCAACATACTACATGTAAAACATATGACAGGATGACCCAGAAGGTGACTGCTGGCTGCTAGCGCGTCGATCAGAGTAGTCTTACAAAAGTTTTTACCCAGGAAATGAACTCCTCGTGCCCAATTACCCAAAAATCGACATAAAATCTGTGCTAAGATGACCCATAATGTAATGGTTAGCTACTAGCGCGCCGGTAAGAATGCTCCCATATTTATTTTGACCTCAGAAAAGATTCCTTCTTCCCAATTACATATAAATCGACTATACAACAGGTAAAATTTGTGCTAAGATGACCCATAATGAAACTACATGCTACCAGCGCGCCGGTTAGAATGCTCTAATATTTTTTTTGAACCCAGAAATGAATTCCTGGTGCCCAATTACCTATAAATCGACATACAACATGTAAAATATGTGCTAAGATTACCCATTATGTAATTGCCGGCTACTAGCGCGCCGGTCAGAATGCTCCAATATTTATGTTGACCCCAGAAATGAATTCCTCGTGCCCAATTACCTATAAATCGACATACAACATGTAAAATCTCAGCTAAGTTGACCCATAATGTCTATTTTGGCCTCGGAAATGAATTCCTTGTCCCAATTTTGCTATAGTTTGATGTATCTCATGATACTTTTATTCTGACTTAGACCAAACTTAGCAAATATGTATTCAAAGATATTTTCTTTTATTGCGCGCGCGCGGACATTTAAGGCTTTGAAGGTGAATTTTTTGAGCGCATATTTTTAAGATTATCAGGATAAATGTTCAAGTGCAATTAATGAAGTTAAGATTGATTTACTGTCAAAAAAGTCGTATTTTTTCACAAAAAGCGCGCTTGCGCGCGCACTTTTGCTCAGATCCGTTCAAAACCAAAAAATGCATGTAATATACATAAGTTTAAGCTCGCATGCAAAAAATCAGCCTCCTGAACAATGCTAAGTTATGTTTATACACTGTTTAAATTTTCCGGAGAGTAATACGTGTTATGCCCCCCCCCCTTATTTATTTGTTTTTCCGTGTTAAGAATTTAAGTTAAGAATTTTCTCAATGATTTGGAGAAAATAAAAGTATCCATAAAGTTAAGTGGGGAAATATTTCCAGTTGATTCCAGTTGATAAATGATTTTAAATTTTTTAAATTTTTTAATTTTCCTTGAAAAATATTTGCCAATTGAAAGAAACATGGTTGCTGCCAAAAATATGGAAATCCAATGAAATAATTATCTACTACTTCGTCTTTCTTATTTACAATTTTGGGTGATAAAGCTGATCAACGTTTATTATCCAGGTGTTTGATTATGAGTATGACAGTGACGAGGATTGGGAGGATGAGGGTGAGGGTGAATCTCTGAGTGATGCGGAGGATGAGAAGGAAGAGGAAGACGATTATGAGGTAAAAACCGATTAAAGGAACTGTAGTGAATACTTGAATATTTATGAAATACGTTTTGTGTTCTAACAAATAAAATGTTTCAAATAAATGTTTCAGGTTGACAATGAGTTCTTTGTTCCTCATGGCTACTTGTCCGATGAGGAGGAGGATAAGGACGAGGATGAGATCTTCAATCCAGAGAAGGAGAAGGTAGGGAAGATTTTTGAGACGTGGGAGGGGGGGGTTGAATATCAAGTCCTCAGACTTATTTTAAAAATTACAAAAAATGAATGCAAAAAACTTTTTTTCAGATAATAAGAAATAAGATTGTGTTACAAAATATTTAACTGTTTAACCATTTTTCCTGTACGGTTTTTATTCAATACAAATCAATTCATTGCACCTTCATCTTTTATTTCTTTTTTAAAAGTTATTGGTCGGCGATTATATTAATACACTGATGACAACTTATTATAAATAATGCTTTGATCCCTAACAAGCATTTTTTTAATTAAAAGTTTACAAGTAAACAAGGATATTGACAATTTCTCTCTGATTACATGTTTCTGTCACTGTTCTTTTTTAGATTGGCACAAGCAATAAAATTTGAAATCGAAAGTCGTATTCACATTATTGATATATACGACGACGACTGTACATTTTGACATTATGATTTGTCACTTTTTTACTCATTTCCATCTTAGCATATTATTTTTTTTATTTTTTATTCTAGCTAATTAAATATTTGATTTAACCAGGAGAAACTGAAGCTGAAGGAGAAAGAGTTCCAAGCTGATTACAAGAAGAAAACCCAGCAGCTTAAACCAAGGTATAGAGGGGAGTTTTAACAACCCCCCAGAAAAGAAATCAAAGACCCTAGAGGAGGGGAAGGGAAGGGAAAGGAAAAAGGAATCTTTTCTGATTTTTCTGATTGAATCTTTTCTCGCCATGGTCGGATGGTTCTGCCTTTACATTAGTGTTGCTTGTCTTCAAGTAACCACTAATCAGGGTCGGATACGTTACTTTTTTACGAAGCAATATTAATCTAATCTATGCTCAAAATATAAAAAAAATAGCCTAATTTTGTTCAATATGGTTCAAGACTATATAACTTGTCAACTACAAAGTGGTTGATATTGTTACGGAACAGGTGACTTCCCGCGGCGGCCTGGGGGGTCCACATTGTGGTCTTTTACAGATTACATTTCCTTATGTTCCTTAACGTAACTTGAAATTATAATTCAGATTGTGGGGTTGTTACTGGGAAGAGGATACTATGGAGGAAAAAGATACCAACGCTGCGGCTCAACAACTAGTTAAAATTCTATCAGGTATTTAAACTTTTCGATGAGAATATAAACGAAAAGAATTGAACCTGAACAGGTATTTAAACTTTTCGAGGAGAATATAACGAAAAGAATTGAACCTGCAGCCTTAGGCAATCACTGCATTCCGTGATATCTTGCCAGGGTTTCATTAGATTATTTGAATTTTTACTGAGACACGCGTTTTGTGTTTCTCTTAATGCTGACTCGAATTTATATAATTCCTTGTTAACATTCTGTGTAATAGATCCATTTGGATTCAAAAAACCAAATAAAAAAAGAAAAAAGTGTAAGTCGGATTAGTAATTATCTACAGAGTGCCAGCAAACTTTTTGACATTTTTTGTTTACATTGAAGAAAATCTTTTCAGGGTATGCCGCTATCACATGTTGTAACAACAACCTGCCAATTGCAACCTCCTTCAGTCAGCCTCAAGCCAGTCCTCAGCCTCTGGCGGAGGATGGAGGAGACCAGACCAGGAGTGGGAAGGGAAAGAACAAGGTATCCAAGGTGTTCCCCGAGGATGCGCTGTTTGACCTGGTCCGCCTCCTTCACATCAACTCCAACAACAAGATCTTCTTGGCCAAGGAGTTCATCGAGTTCTGGAATAAGAAGTGTGGAGGTATTTAACAAAAATGCAACATTTATGAAACTATCGACTTGAAACCTCTTGATTTTCTAAAACAAAAAACGGATCTGACAGATCGATAATTCGCAAATAGTAAATACTTGAAATTAAGTTGATGCTGGCGGAGTAGATGATGTTGATGGTACTCCTAGTACTCCAACTACTCTTAGTACATCAAGCACTCCTAGTGCTCCTAGTATAATATAGATATTTTTGTAGTCGATGCTGGTGGAGTGGATGATGTGGGAGGTACTCCAAGTACTCCTGCTACCCAACTGATATCTAAGAGAAGGATAGTTGATAAGATCCAGGAGATAGCTGAATATAAGAAGCTGAAGGGTAGGACAGGCAGGTTCTGGTTGGTTAAAGAAGAGATTAGGAACAAGGTAGTTATAAATTAAATTATAAATTAAAAACATGAAATTCCTCTCATGTTGTTAATGTGTTGTTTAACCTAATACATTAAGCATTGGTTTGTATTAGACATCCAACTCTATAAAAGTTCACACCGTTTCTTAAAATTTATATTGCCAATATTATCATTTTGATGAACTTTGTTAAATCTTTAGATACAAATAAAAATAAGAGACAAAACTTGTCTTATTATGTGCACTTTTTTATTTTTCTCTTCCAAATCCCTCCCTGAAATATATATTTTGAGTGGATTGAAGTACAAGTCGGATTATCGACGAATAATGGTTGGCTTCAGTTACTATTATCATTATCATCATTATGAAATCAATATTTACTTTGTGTCAGGTTGGATTAGAGCAGACTGAAACCAATACCTGGAATTATATCCTGGAACAACCGAATGCTAAATCATCAGCACCATCTGAAGATGTAGCATCAAGTCGTCCTTCCTCGCCCGTACAGTCCAGGATAAACTCACCCAACCCCGCCTCACTCATCACCAAGTTCACCAAGGTTCTCACCGAGGAGGAGAGAGCTCAAAACCTATCTAGAGCAAACCTAACTCCACCTAGTGCCAAGCGCAGAAAACTGACTCCGTCCAGTGTCGGTCAACTGAGTGAAAACCCGAACCAGTCCAAGAATACGCCGGTCAATATGATAACAGTAAAGCGAGCCCAAGGATCTAAACCTGTAAACAGGATTCAACCAAGAAAGACTCCCAATACTATTAAGACGACTCTAGGTAAATCTCCTCTTTGTGTCAAAAGCTTTGCTTTAGAGACTCCGCCTAAAGCTGCAGCTCCTGCTGCTCAGAACAAGTTTGCTTCTGCTGCTCCAATCGCCTTTAGAAAAGCTCCAAAGCCAAAGGCTGGAGCCCAACCCGTTACAACTGTGACCGGAGCTTTTAGTCAGCTGAAAAACCTGCAAGGTATTAAAAAAATCTTTATAAAATTTCAGAATTGTAATTTGTACATTTCATGATATATTTTCTTTATTCATTGGAATCCAAAAATAATTAATTGATTGTCATCTTTTTTCTTTAATAGTGAAATGTTGTTTTGTAACTAAGCTAATTTTCTTAAATGTGCCAATGTGCCATGAACAAAATTCTCTACGATATTTCTTAATAAATACAAATTAGAAAGATTTAAACAAATATTCTACAGTGTTCTTGTTGTACCACTGCATCTGTGTGTATAGGCATTGAACACACCAACTCCAGATTATGAATATGGATTCCATATTCATAACAATAAAGAATAACAAAAAAAGTTTGATTACGGATAAATTATAGTGGCATCATAAATGTCGAAGTTTGACATTTTTGTAATTTATTAAAATTTAAAGTTATGTATATTGTAGGTGTGACTGTGACCTCTGTAGGTAAACCTGGAGATGATGATGATTGTATCACCCTGGACTAATCCACATTTATAGAATACGGGAATCCCAAAAAACATGAGTCGCTTTAAGAAATCAAGATATATCTCAAACAATTATATGTTTTGAGGGTTTTATTAAGAGGCCCTCAATCTACCACAAGTTGAAAGACACTAGATATTAAAGGGAGTGAACGGCAATTAAACTGAGAATGTAGTATTGTGGAGAAATATTTTAGGAATCATTTGAGGCTTATGAGACGTTTTTACTGTGCATATTAATTTGTTTCGCAAATTCAATCTTTAAATCTTTAAGATCCTCATAGATTGTTAATTTGTGAGGGATGATATTGAGAATCGCGTTTTAAAATATTATTCAACAACAACGATTAGAAATGTAGCAAAAATACTACAGTCGACTTAATAGTTGATTAGGAATAGCAATAAGTAATCATTTTCAGTTATTGGTTTCTTTAATGTCTGATGGTTCTCAAAAAAGTTTCTGTAGATATCCTGGAATTATTATTGAAAAGAAGACATTGGAAGAATTTGAAGAAATTTGCGAACAAATTCACATATAAATAACTGATTCTAACAATGATTTGATGGGGAAAATATCAATTGAGAAATATGTTCCAAACCATCATAATTAGTATACTGAAGATTTTTAAAACATTTTTTTTAATGTAATTTAATGATTTAAAAAAACTCGCGGAAGTTTTGAGCTCAAAGTTAGTAATTATACATCATTAAAACGTTTTATATGTCTCAAATAAATCCTATAAATTACATTGTCGGTCACTCCCTTTAAGTTTTGATACATTTTTTTATTAACAAAGGCAGACCACATTTTTTTAATCCCCAAACTTATCTACTTCCTGTAGACCTAGAAAAGAACTTTGTACAAAGAACTTGTAAATAGAATATGAATATTTAAGTCGCTAAAATGTATAAGCAAAACTCTTCCTGAAAGCATTTTAAAATTGTAAATGATCGTTCCCAGTTTTCCAGAAAACCCTGTCCGTTTAGTTTTATATTATTTGTATGCTTCAGATTGAATAAATACGATAAGTTCAAATTGTACTTTTTTACGTGAGAAATGGCGGATTTCCAAATGAAATACGTGTTCAGAAATATTCAGAAGTTTATGTGTTCTTGCTGAGAAGAGAAGTCGATAAGAAGACTAAGAAAAACAACAGATATTTAACAATTGACATTTTTTCAGACATTATTTTCAATTTTGCTAATGGGCCTGATGGGTTCACCCGTTTTTAACATTTATCAAATGAAATATATAATATATATCAAATATGTATATAAAAAAAGAATTTCACATAAAATCTAAAAGGGATATACAGGGTGTCCCACGAATCATGACAGTTGGTGAATAGTTTTGAATGCTTTTTCCATATTCTGTTTTAGATATTAAGGACTTTTTGCAGTTTATTTATTTTAGAAATTTTCACTCAAATATATTTTAACACACTTTACCCTTATCCATCTTATTCTATCTTTAAGTAGGATTTATTGTGAAAAAATCAGCACAGGAACTATACTCAAGTTTATGATTGCCAATCGGGCATGGAAATTTCAGGATGAGTAGGATACTATTTCTTGTTATGATAAGTGGTAAACACTTCTGCTCCTCCCTCTTCAAGTTCTATCTTGTTTATCTCGGTGATCTTGGACAACCTCTCAACCCTCTGCACCTCCCTCTTCAAGTTCTATCTTGTTTATCTAGGTGATCTTGGACAACCTCTCAACCCTCTGCACCTCCCTCTTCAAGTTCTATCTTGTTTATCTCGGTGATCTTGGACAACCTCTCAACCCTCTGCTCCTCCCTCTTCAAGTTCTATCTTGTTTATCTCGGTGATCTTGGACAACCTCTCAACCCTCTGCAGAGCTCCGGAAACGTGAGAGCAGAAAGAGTACTTTGCATTGGTGTCATGATTGTCATTGGCTTACAAGAAGTCGAGAACAAAAAGCTCATTTTCAGCAAAAAAAACTTACCAATTTTTCCAAGTTTTGTGGGGTTTTAAAAAAAGTATTTAAAAATCATAATATTGGATAATATTAATTTTGTTCTCGAAAATTTTTCTTTGAAAAATCTTAAATTTAAGAACGTTCCCGATTTTTTGGAGGGCAGGGGGCAACTATGGATGATCATTTTAGGAAAGTAAAAAGAAGTCTACAAATAAGAATTAAGATGACGGATAAAGGTTTTTGAGATTTTTATGATATAGAAAGTTAAGGGTTTTTAAAAAACCGCTGAATTAAAATCGTAATTATTTCTAAAAAAATAAATAATCTGAAAACACATTTTGGAAAAAAATTTTAAAAAATTCCTAAAACCTTAAATCAAAACTATCATTGTTAAATTTGAAAGTTTCAGACGAGAGTCTCTTGATACATTTCATAAACAATATAATCCATATTTTAATATGTACTTGTTCTGCTTTATCCATTTTGTGAACGAATTTACAAAGTTTAATTAAAGTCTTTATTCCAATTACATGATAAATATTGAAACTCTAACCAGTACATAAATAATGCCACGTTTTAATGAAAATAATATCTATGTATTTTTAAAATTAATAAAATTAAACTCTTTTATATTACAAATCACAAAAATAATTTCTAAATTACAAATAAATAAGATTTATTAGCTTCCGAAGATCTTTTACTTTGTTATACTTATAAATGATAAAGAAGAATCTTGAACCTGAAGAGAAATACAAGCTAAGTAGCGGGTGGATTCAAGATCAGTATAAGGATGTTTAAAGGTGGATATAATGTGATTTAAAAGTGACCCTCTCTGCAAAGAGGACAATGTCCGATTTACAACGGTAACCTTCAAAACTTAGTCTGATCTAGTATTAATAATATTATACATGTTTCTGCAAGCTATTTTTCATTTGTGGTTTCCCTGCAAAAGTGACTTGTACATTTCATGCGTATAAAAATATACTGGTGAAAATTCACACAAATTAACATTTTCTTCTACAGGTTTAATCAGATGAAGGTTTAAAGAGTAATGAAGAGTAAATAAACACTTGGAGTCCCCTTAAGGTAGGTGACAAAGGAATGTTTGAATTGAAAGACAAATCCACTTATAATGAATATTAAATTCTAATAACATCATAATTCGAATTATATTAAGTTTCATTTCTTCTACAGTAGTCACAAGACAACTGTGGAATGTTTTCTTTCTTCTTTATCTGAGTAAGGGGTTTGTACTTGGGTCTAAAGTTACCCTCTAATAATAGAGTGACATGATCGATTCACAACGGTACACTTGAGATCTTAGCATGATCAAGAATGAATAGGATATCCAAATTTTAAGCTTTAAAAAACAATTGTTTGAATTATGGTTTCTTACAAAAGCGACTTGAAGATTTCAGCAATAGAAACAGCGTGGAGAAAAATCCTTAAAGATAAAAAGACAAATCATTCTGCGGTTGAAGAGCAAGCAAATTAAATTTTGGTCGATAAGTATACAAAATGGGTAGATAAGTAGACAAAATGGGTAGATAAGTAGACAAAATAGGTAGATAAGTAGACAAAATAGGTAGATAAGTAGACAAAATAGGTAGATAAGTAGACAAAATAGGTAGATAAGTAGACAAAATAGGTAGATAAATATACAAAATAGGTAGATAAGAAGACACAATAGGTAGATAAGTATACAAAATAGGTAGATAAGTAGACAAAATAGGTAGATAAGTAGACAAAATAGGTAATGTCGTACTGGGCGGCAACTGGGATAATTTTACTGGTTGGTAAAATTCTCCGCCGACTCCGGGTACTCCTCTTGCTCTGGGGTCAGGGTAAAATTCAGTCCTTGTGCAGATTCCGGAGCCGAACCTGAGCTCTTAGTTCCTGGTGCAACCTGTCTTATTAAACTACAACTAGAAAATGTTCTTAGGGATTGAATTCTCTCCATGTTTCTTGTCAGCTTACTCATTCTCATCTAAACGCAGTACAGACAGACAGATAGATAGACAGAGAAACAGATAGACACATACACATCTAGATAAACAGAGAGACTGATAGGATATATAAACAGTTAAATAAAAAGATAGATACACTGACATGCAGATAGATATACAGATGGATAGACAGATATCTAGACATATAGCTAGACAGATAGATAGATAGATAGATAGACAGATAGCTAGACAGTTAGCTAGACAGATAGTTAGACAGATAGACAGATAGATATACACATTCTCAAATGAACACTTCTGGGATCTCGAAAATTATAAATGAATTTTGATTGTCAATTGAAACGTTAATCAATCTAATATTATTTAGAATGCAGAAAATAAGTTAAACTAACTTCATTTTGACGAGATTTTTTTTTGAAATTTTCATGAAAAACTTGCTGAAATAAGTGAAAATAAAAAAACCCGGCGTATTTCCAGGATAAAATCCGTACAATTTTAGGGTTACAAAATAAAAATCCGTACAATCCGTACATTTTGGCCACCCTGTAGTTTTGAAAAGGTTAACTTCCAATAATTCCTTTAGGTTTTTCTATAGTAAAAAATGTTAAATTAACTTGAAGATAAACTATAGTTATAAAAAATTCCATTAGTTTTTTAAATTATAAAACTTGGATATTAAATCATTTTTGATAAGATGAAGAATTTTAGGGTACCGTTGTAATTCGGGCAATGCTATCCTTATTCTTTGCATGGAGATCCACTTGAAATTATGCTTAAGTCCCTTTAACCCAATTATCGATGATAATTAAATTCTTTTTAAGACAAAATATTTTTATTTTCGTAAACATAGTTAGTTTTACAACATTTTACATTTATTGTTACTAGTTATAAACAATTTCATTTTACAATATATTTGGCTATTCTTTCATAGCTAGAATTACAGTTAATAATATTCGTGATATGAAACGATATACTATATTATTATAGCATTTTTTAGAGTAAATAGAAGATTGGGAGAAACTTCATAAGATTACTATGAGCTATAATATTATAGCTTTTTTCATAGTTCATAGAAGTAACATTTGCACTTGTAATGGAAACAACAAATCGGGTTCATTTAGTCCGGGGTAGACTAGAAAGCTCATAGCACATTTCAAACTTATCAGGATTGTATTAAAGAGGTACAAGATTTATAATATTCTCAAAAGAAAGATCAATTTGGGTTATCCGAGGTTCAATAAATATTTAAAATGCGCCGATATATATACGTGTATGAGATTAACATGGAAAGTTAACTCATGCACATTGGCTCGTTTGACCGGTTTATGGTCTGTAGGAGGTAGATTTTCAAGTAGTAGTTTACCAAGCTCAGCCATAGGAGTCTTCATGTACAGTAGTCTCTCACTACTCGACAACCCCTGGTAACAGCTCAGCGTGTATCCCAGGTACACAGTATACTCCTGTACATAGATAGTAAGAGTAATATTCTAAAACTCCTGTTATTTCTTTTATAGGCGTAATACGTTTCTCAAGCTCCAGGTTCATATACATCTTTACATTAAGCGCTATATTATCTCAGTCTTCGTTTAATCCATATAATTTTAGTACTTAAGGTTAAGATACAGATACGAATATATACAATTGTAGCATGGTGTACGTCATGCCTATACACATCTGAAATTAAGAATATTATTTATAAAAATTTATAAATAGTTCACTGACCGTCACATTATGAGTTATTCTTTATATGTACTTAAAAGAGTTGAGATGGGACGGTATAAGAAAAAACAGTTTGACATTTTTCAAAAAGCGAATTTCGTTAGGGGTAAATTTTTGAAAATTTGATAATTCATAAACCTTCCCGGGGGTCACGCGAGGTCTCACAAAAAAATTGGGCCCGATCGGTTCATCCATTTTGGCGTTTATTGGATACAAACCAACAAACAAACACCCAGACAAGCAAAGTATATATATACTAGAAATTCAAGGCGCTTCGCGCCCTTCTAAACAATGAAGCCTCTTTGTTTACATATTTACGTTTTACCCTTCTTTCCGTGCAGCTACTTTCAAAAGGCATTTTCCCTTTTATATTTAAGTGTGACTGTACTCGCTTTAGAGACGGGTTCTCCTGAGTTCTCATTTTGTCTCGTAAGATTAAATATCAACCTAGAACATATTTTCCAAAAAGACAAAAAAAAAACAAGAAACTTCAGAGAAAAGCTAATTTTACCAGAGTTTGAGTGAGACGGGAGGTAGGTCCTCGAGTTTCTTAACGTCGAAATTCTTCCGTTGGAGCTCATTCTACAGTACACCTTGGAAAATAAAAGAATATTTTAGCCAATGTTTTTTCTATATTATGTAGATCTAAGCTTCAATCCCTTTTCCTAATTAAATACAACTTCTAAGGTTTCACATACATTTTCTTCAGATAAGTCCAATTTAGAAAGTCAATGACGATGACGGGATTATCAGTTTTCAGAGTATTCCTCGGTCAGTTCATCAATCAATCACGTTAATGATTTATGTAACTGCGAAAATTTTAGGTTAACTACAAACGATCTATGACGATCTTTTTAATGAGAGTAACTACTCGGGAGTATTCATCAATCAATTAATCAATCAACCAAACAATCGAAAAGATGTAGTTTGAAGTACAAGACGTTTATATCAATAGAGATAAACGATGGAAGTATCAATTTTTTGTAGTTTTCATTTTCCATCTAATCCACAATTTAGTTAATTAATCGATCGAACCAGAAGTATAAAAAACAAATTTCGAAGTACAAGACAATCAATTAATCAAGTTTCAGAAAGAGTATTCCATTATTAATGAGATTCATCAATCAGTTAATCAATCGAAGTTCTATGTTTAATCCGACATGAAAGTTTTAAATATAATTCAATTCAATTCCTGAGTCCCATAAGAGATGACAGCATTCTAACATTAGTTTTTACCTTATTTGCGACATCTCCGTCGAGACACTTAGCGATAGATGCCATGTAGCAGTTCTTGATTTTATCATCCGCCTGCCAAGCAGACTTCTGATACGCCAATCTAGCCGCCTCGGTTCCATGCGCCATATCCGCCAACATGAACACCACTGCTTGACGTTAGATAATGGTAACTCCAAAAGTTTTTCGTTGATTTGCGTAATTTGTCGCCTCGTCGTGGGATCGCTGTGAGATAACTACTGCTCCAGCAGCGACGGGAGGACGGGTCTTGTCGAAAGCTCCCATGGCGACCTTGAGTCCTGCACCCTAAAATGTTTACATTAGTAAATCAAGCATGAATAAAAATACAGCTTTTTATTCAGTTCTGGTGGTTTATTGGCTTCTGTCATCATGTGTACTTTGTAAAAAACATGATTTGTCAAAACTTGAATTTGATAAGGATTCAAACATTTACTATCTTTCGGGTTTCTTGTATCATATAACCAAAACAAATCGAACCAAGTATAAAGGTAACTTGTCATATGAAAGATCCCGTTTTCTCTCATTTTCTAATAAAATATTAATTTTTAGCTCAGGCTATTCAAGTCCCAATTTCCCCTCATTTCCAACTAACTATTTTCGCGATATTTTCTTTTTAAATTCGTGTATTTAAAAAATGTCTACATTTTATAACAGACCAAATTTGTCATATCTCACCGTCCATAAACCTTTCCTTGGGTCATATGAGTTGCCACAGGAAAAAGATCAACAGACATGTAAAGTTTATTTATTTATAGATTATAGATATCCCTACCTCTCCGATGAGAACATTCTCCTCAGGTACAACAACATCCTCGAACGTGATTCCTCTGGCATCAGAAGAGCCCTGACCCATATTCTTCTCCTTCCTAACCGGAGTAACTCCTTGAGTATCTGCGTACACAATAAACCCTGTGAAGGCCTTGCTAGCTGGACACTTAAGTTCAGGGTTGGTACGCGCCAGGACGAAGTAATAGTTTGTAACTCCAACGTTGGTTATCCACATCTTTTGACCGTTTATCACCCATTTATCTCCTTTCTTCTCAGCCTTGGTTTTAATCCCAGCAACATCTGATCCTGCTCCAGGTTCTTAATATATACAAGAGATTAATACTGTACAAGCTAATTGAAAGTATTTCACCAAAGTTTATAAGTAAAAACTCGGACACTAGTAGTTGTTTGAGGACTATTGAACAAGTTCTCAGTTCTGCCTTACATTTCTTTCCAAATTAACGTTCTCGACAGAAACTTATTTACAAATGATTGTCTGGTTAATATGTACGAAAGAACGATTTAAATGTTAAATGATATTGTTTTATCAATCTACAAACAAACGGGCATTACTGGAAACTATGAGAAAGATTTTCATTTAAACCAAACATATAGAAAATATAAAAATCATAATGGTTCTAATATAAAAAATAATTCCCTGCCAGATTCAGCAGAATTGATTGAAAAATCGAAAATGTCCACTTGTCTCACAAAATGGGTTCAATATTGCGTGTTTAAAAGAAATCAACCTGTATCTCCATATGCATACATCAATGGTTCTTAATTGAGTCGGGAGAGATATTTTTTCTTCTGCTCCTTGTTTCCAGCAATCATAACCGACATGGAACCTAATCCTTTAGCTTCCAGAGCAGTCATTATTCTTGTGTAAGCATACGCCATCTTCTCAGTTATTAAATATCCGTCCAGTGTTCACAAACCAGTCCCTCAGTATTTCTCTGGAATATAAAGATTCATTTATCCAGTGGCGTGGGCTTTCTTAATAACCACCCAGGGAAACTGCCCGGAGATACACAGAATAGGTAGATAAGTAGACAAAATGGGTAGATAAGTAGACAAAATAGGTAGATAAGTAGACAAAATAGGAAGATAAGTAGAGAAAATAGGTAGATAAGTAGACAAAATAGGTTGATAAGTAAACAAAATAGGTTGATAAGTAGTCAGAATAGGAAGATAAGTAGACAAAATAGGTAGATAAGTAGACAAATAGGAAGATAAGTAGACAAAAAAGATAGATAAGTAGACAAAATAGGTTGATAAGTAGACAAAATAGGTTGATAAGTAGGCAAAATAGGAAGATAAGTAAAAAGATAGGTAGACAAGACAAAATAGGAAGATAAGCAGACAAAATAGGTTGATAAGTAAACGAAATAGGAAGATAAGTATACAAAATATGAACATAAGTAGACAAAATAGGTAGATAAGAAGACAAAATAGAAAGATAAGTAGACAAAATAGGAAGATCAGTAGACAAATAAGCAGATAAGTAGACAAAATAGTGTAATCGATGAAAAAAAAATTATCAATATATTAGGAAGTTGAAAAGGAAAGTAAGATGATAAAAAATTTATAATTTAACTAATGTTTACCGTAAAATTCTTCAATCTTGACAAACTGGATTGATACGGGAGACATCATGCCCTTATGGTTCTTGGGTGACATTTTCAAATTTGTTTTCACATTTTTCTAAAACAAATAATCAAAAATAGTCGCCTATTTAAATACTGGAGCTCTGATGATAATTCTTTTAGCGACATACTGGAGCTCTGAGAATAATTCTTTAAACAACATACTGGAGCTCTGAGAATAATTCTTAAAGGGACATACTGGAGCTCTGAGAATAAGTCTTTAAACGACATACTGGAGCTCTGAGGATAAGTCTTTAAGCGACATACTGGAGCTCTGAGAATAATTCTTTAAACTACATACTGGAGCTCCGAGGATAATTCTTTAAACGACATACTGGAGCTCTGAGGATAATTCTTTAAGCGACAAAGTAAGTATTAAATTTGTTTAAAGAAGACATTTAATTTAAAATCCTTCAATTTCTCTTTCCTTCTTCTTCTTTTTCTTTCTTTTCTTGAGTTTAGTTTCTTCTCCAATAATCTGAGACATCTGCTCATCATCCTCGATCTCTGCCTCCTGCATCTCGATCTCTTCCTCCTGGTACTGTTCCTCCTTATCCTCGATCTCATCTTCCTGATATGGTTCCTCCTTATCCTCGATCTCATCCTCCTGGTACTGTTCCTCCTTGTCCTCGATCTCCTCCTCCTGGTACTGTTCCCCCTTATCCTCGATCTCCTCCTCCTGATACTGTTCATCGGTCTCTTCCTCGATCTCAAACTCAACCATTGAAGCAGCCTCATCCTAAAATATTCAAAGGTATTTATTTTCTTAAAAAATCATCCCCCCAAATATCTCAGATATATTTACATTTTACGCGGAGTCAAACAACAAATGTTTTTTATGGTTTCATTCTGGGGGAAACGCCATTTTAATGAGGGGGATGATTCTCTAAGAAAATAGTTACCCTTCCCATTTTGAATAATATTAACAACACGAAAAGGATATATTCATGCTTAAACAACGTTTATCTCTTATTTTAACCCGAATTTACGAAACATTTTTTTACCTTTATTTCTTCTGCAGGAGCTTGAGCCGGTTTAGTCATCTTCTTCCTGGGTTTAGGTTTAGGCTTAGCAGAACCATGAACAAGTTGCACATTCTTCAGATTATTGTCTAAACCTCTATTCCAACCTGAAACAAAAATTAATGATACAGGGATATCGACATAATTTCAAGTAACTTTATTTTAAGTAGCTCAACCCTGGAGCTCAACCTACGCGCTCAACCCGGGAGCTTAACCCAACAGGTCAGCTTAACGTAACATAGCATAAAGGACATAATTTTTCGACTGAAGGTTAAATGATGATAATAATAATGATAACACTATCAAGTTGCAAAGATATCGGGATTATACCATAAGAGTCTTTTCTTAATCTAAGTAATGGCAGAACTGCCGGAAGCTAAAACAATTCGAGCCATAACATTTCAGGAAACTATTTTATGAGAATTAAGAAAAGAAAATATAATTTTTAAGACTTAATTAATATTTAATAAAAATAAAAGAAAAAAAGATAATTGGCTAAAAATCAAGTTTCAGTTTTCTCGATAATAAATTATTAACCCTTGAAGCAGGATTCCTCTTAAATATAAATATTAAAATTAGCTTGTTTTCTCATTTAGTAAGGCATTTGCTCATCAAAAATTGCAGATATCGTTTTAAAAAGGTGTTTAATTTTACCATACTAGCCTTAGAGGGCGCTTCGCGCCCATCTTCTAAATTAATTGTGAACATGTTTTCTTTGTGTATATCGTAAAACAAAACAAAAATAATTCGCGGATTTTCACAAAAAATTTCGTAGATTTTCAAAAATTTAATGAAGATCAAATTTTGATGGAGACAAATATTTGAAATTTTGATCATTCATAAACCTTCCCTGGGGCTCCGTGAGGTCCCACAAAATATTTGGGCCCGATCGGTTTAGCCGTTTGGACGTTTATTGGATACATACAAACAAACAAACAAACAAACAAAAAAACAAACAGACAAACAGACTATCAGACAGACAAGCCAAATTTATATATAGGCTAGTCTAATTTATGGGAGGCAAAATACACAAATAATACTCGAAACACCTTTTCATAATTTGTATTAGCCTTATAGCTTTTCAAAAGATTTATTCATTTCAAATTATCAAGATTCTCGAAAATCTCAATTTAAAGCCTAAATTATCCGTTTTGATGTGGGACACCCTGTATCTTGACTTAAGGTGAATAGAAACACTAACCTGATATAACAGTGTTGGTGACAGTTATAACATCAAGTTTGGTAGGAACATCAGAAAGTAAAACATCGCTCTGCTCCGCCGGTGCAGCATCATGATTCTTGGTGATCTGATCGAGGAATTCTTTGGCACTTTTCAGATTTCTGTAAAGTTTTCCTGTTATCAAGAACTTAAAATAATAAAACAATAACGCCAAAAAACACTGTATACTCTTCCTTTTACCTGGATCAAAATTCAAAATACATGGATACTCATTACAGTAACAAGAGATTTAACGTATCATTAAAATTATGTAAAAATGTAATTACAGCAACAGAATATTTCTGCATTATTTTATAGTTTCGAATAGAAAATAGAAAATTAAATTTAGAAAAATCAAACATTGTATAATAATGATACACGGAAATCAAACCCGAGTTGCCACAAACTACACCAAATCATAAGATAGATTAAACTCTTCTTTATGTTAAAGTTATTATGATGAAGTTCCCTGTTGGTGATATATAAGTGTTCCAAGACGATTTGGAGGTTTTATGGTTTATTCTCCTCCATCCTGGTCCCAACTCAGGAGCTAAAACAGGGATGTATATAAGGGTGACACACAAAGGTGGTTAACATTTGTTTAGGGTGCTTAGTTTCTATGGGTGATGTGGCCCAATATGAGCGTTGTGTGAAAATTCTAGCTAGATCTGAGCATTACATGAGGTAGAAGTCGTTTTCAGTTTTTCGTCAAAACCTTAATCTTTGATGGAAGTCAACCTACGATCCCAAATTTTCTTTGTGATCCAAGTAGATGACCATTATTGGTGGCTAAATGCAAAATGTCAGCCTTTTATCTCAATTTAAGAACCAAAAATCCAGCCTTGTGCAAAATTTGGTGTCACAAAGTGATGAATTGCCCTATCCTTAACAAAAATCGAGATTTTTAATTGACACTACTTCCACCTGAATTCCATCAAGTTAGAGCAACAATTTTTTTGGGCATTTTCAAATAATAATAACTATGGTGGTAATCAGAAAAGGAATGATTATCGTCTTTAACCTTTTCATGTTGTAAAATGGCGCTAAAAATTTCTAAAAATGTGCCAGGAAAATATTCTGGAAATTAATCATTTCTAACCAATTCCAAATCAGGGGTCCATATAATTTCATTTCTGATCCCTAATGGGATCGGGGTTGAAAGTAAATTTAGGGGCATGAAAGTACACTTTAAATGTCATTGAGAACTTTGACAAGTTTATGTGTACATGTACTACGCTTCAGAAATGTGTTCTGCATTTGGGGTGTTAAAAGAAGTAAATATTAGTATTTAATATAAGATATAAATTATAATATACAAAAAAATAAACACTCCCTTGCAGTAAACATTCTGCAATATGGAAATTTTTCTACACTTGACATTATACTTCCAATTGTTTACAATAACAACATGGTTTATTTCTGCCACTAATATCAATTAATTAATCAACATTTGGGATTGATCAGATGGAATTATATGGACCCCTGTTCCAAATAAGTTTCCTATGAAACAACGAATTAATTAATGCCAACATTTCTTAACACATTATTTAACGGTGAAGGAGGTGACACATTGCGCATAATTCAAACTATGCAAACTCAATATTTGATTTCTGACGATCATACACCTGGAGTATCTTGAAGAGAGGCGGCGGGCAGGATGGCGGCGGAGTCATGGGGCTTGATGGCCAGAGGCTGGATATTGGAAAGATCCCCGAAGGATACCGTCGACACATCATTTTTCGACTTTTTGCTAAAACATAACACAAGAAAAAACAAGAAATCGTGGTATGTTAAAAGAAACTCTACGTGGAACCCCCTGCCCACAGAGTTTTCTATTTTCCTGAAAATCATTACTCCCCCCCCCTTCTCCTCCTAAATCTTTTATTCCTCAGTATTGCAAAAATCGTTCGACAATAATTCGGTGGGAATGATGGGGAAAGTTTTTACAATATTCTCTCTCTCCCCCCCCCCCAATTCTGTTGAAAAAGCCATAAGAACGATGTCAAACTTTATTGAGGTAAAACTTAAATTTCTACTGTCTCCGTATTGGCTAACCTACGCGATATAAAATATCAGAATATTTCGCATACCTCTGCCCATCATTTACCCAATGGAACCACCCGGAAAAATTGGTTTTCACTAAAATTAGCAAAAGGGATAAAGTTCTATAAACTCGGAATTATTTGCGGCATTCTACACCAGGAAAATCTGAAAATGCACGTGAATAAGGTGAACATTTATAAGGACATTGAACTCGAAAATTTGAATTCGATTGAAACTATTTTTATAAACTTACAAAAATCTAATATTTCGCACCAACGTGGCCCGTTTCTTAAAATACAGTTTTATCTTGGTGGATTAGAAGGTTGGAAGGATGAGAATTTCGAGGTGGCTCGGACGAAAAAATGAGAAGAATGTGGCTCGGACTAGAAATTGTTGTGGCTAGCCTTCCTCCCCTAATCAAAAAGCTCATCTTAAAATCAAAAAAATATCTTTTTGTGTTTGGTTAGACAGGACTTTTGATACTTCAATCCAAAATCCCCCATTATCATCCCTACCCTTCCAAGTTACCAAAAAAACTGGAAAACTAAAAATAACTTTTCAATAAATATGAACCCCTATCCAGTGTCCACAGTCAGTGTTCAACCCCCTGTGTTAATAACTACCTTGGTTCACTCTCTGTCTCTGCTTTTCGTTTCGAAGAATCAGGAGTCGTCTTTGTTCTAGCTTCAGACTTCTTAGTACTCCTTAATGGACTTGCAGGTTTAGTCGGAGTTTTGGTTTTCTCAGAGTTGGCAGGTTTAGGGGTTGTAAGGTTAGGTGTTGCAAGGTTAGGGGTTGCATGACTAGGAGTTACAGCGGAAGCTCTATTAGGGGTTATCACTGACTTTCCATAAGCAGGTGCAGGAGTTCCTGAAAAAAATTCTCTAGATATTTCTGAAGATTCTAAATGTTTATAGAACACAAGATAAAAAATGAAACATAAAATCTCATCAACTTGCTTAATATGAGTGTTTGCAAAAACAAGGGATAATAATCGATTATGAATTCAGACAAATTTCCGAAATTTTTCATACTTTAGTCAATCCTTGGAGTACTAAATCTGCGATAAGAGCTATTTTTAATAAATTAGGTTAATTTCTGTCAAAAAGTAAAATGTAAAAAAAATGCTGTAGATATTGAATATAAAATTTTTATAAAAACCTTGATCTGAGCTTTGGTTCTCCGCTATCGTTGAGTCATTCCTGGAAAAAATGGGCTGCAACAGTTAACATTTTTCTGTTTGTATGGGATAGAGGAAATCTTTGCTTGTTTAAATCAATTAAATGTAGTTTTAGTGAAAAGGGGATGGTGGAGATGGCACATTTGATGTAGGGGGGGGGGGGGGCGGCGGCCTATCTTCATTTTTGGTTCAAATCTTCCAATTTTATGGCTGCACGCCTAATTAGTGATCGAGATTCCTAAAATAAAATTGAATTTTAATGACCTCAAATGACCTCCACAAATAGAAAATATTTCAACTATGGCTTTATGCCTATCAAACGAAAGCTAGGAACCCATGGAATACAGTAGCAGCAACAAATCAAGTGTTTGACCTTCTAATGATCTCTTACGACCTCTAATGACCTAAATGACCTCCAAAAATGAAAATGTTTTAACTATGGCTTTTTGCATATCAAACGAAAGCTAGGAACCCCAGGAATACAGTAGCAGCAACAAATCCAGTGTTTGACCTTCTAATGACCTCTAACGACCTCTAATGACTTAAAATGACCTCCAAAATAAAAATGTTTTAACTGTGGCATTATGCATATCAAACGAAATATAGGAACCCAGGAAATACCATAGCAGCAATTGAATCCAGTGTTTGACCTAAAATGACATCCAAAAATAAAAATGTTTTAACTATGGCTTTAAGCATATCAAAAGAAAGCTAGGACCCAGGGAATACAGTAGCAGCAACGCATCCAGTGTTTGTCTTTCTAACAACCTTTAATGACCTCCAAATTGAAAATGTTTTAACCATAGTATGTATTTCAAATGAAAGCGAGGAACTAGAGAATACAGTAGCAGCAACAAATCTAGTGTTTGAAATTCTAATGACCTAAAACGACCTCCTATAATAACCTCCATTAAAATATTTAAATATGGCTTTAGGCATGTCAAACAAACATTAGTAACCCCCAAAGAATCGAGTGGCAGCAATGTTTGACTTTCTAATGACCTCTAACGACCTGTAATGACCTCCAAATTGAAATGTTTTAAATAAGGATTTATGTATATCAATCAAAAGCTAGGAACCCAGACAATACAGTAGTGGTGTCATCATTAACCTATTTGGATTGCTTTAATCAATAAAACATTTATTTGAAACATGTGTCACTAGTGTTTTAATTATTGTGACACAATTTGATTTATTTATTTAATGTTGCAAATTAAAGCATTTACTTTTTATGGGGGTACTTAATCACATTTTTATTGATACAGAATTGTTTTCGTGTAAAACGTGTTACCCATTTTTGGAGGTCATTTAGGTCATTAGAGGTCATTTGAAGGTCAAACACTGGATTTGTTGCTGCTACTGTATTCCCTGGGTTCCTAGCTTTGGTTTGATAAGCATAAAAGCCATAGTTAAAATTTTCTATTTGTGGAGGTCATTAGAGGTCATTAGAGGTCATTAGAAGGTCAAACACTGGATTTGTTGCTGCTACTGTATTCCTGGGGTTCCTAGATTTTATTTGATATGCATAAAGACTTAGTTAAACATTTTCATTTTTAGAGGTCATCTAGGGCATTCGAGGTCGTCAGAGGTCATTCGAAGGTCAAACACTGGATGTGTTGCTGCTACTGTATTCCCTGGGTTCCTAGCTTTCGTGTGATTACATAAAGCCATAGTTAAAACTTTTTCATAATTGGAGGTCATTTATGTCGTTAGAGGTCATTAGAAGGTCAAACACTGGATTTTTTTTAGGGAAACTATACACCGCTGCACATCCTTGATAAAATATATTTTAATTTTTTTTGAAGAGTTTTATGACGTCAACTTTCCATCTCTCTGATATCTGTGGAAGGTGTACGTGATGCTGTCTCCAGGTTCAACTGAAAACAAACATGTTTTTTATTAAAATAAATAATTTTTATGTACTATGAACGGACTGTATCTATTCACAACGATACCCCTTAGATCATAAGTAACTTATGACTAAGGATACATGAGATACGTTTAAAGATAACAAATGTTGACTTGTGTGGTTATGTTGTTACTCAGATCGATATTATTATTATTAACGGACAACCCTGCATTCGGTGATATAGTGCTCGGCGCCTCTAGCCGCCCGAAACACATCCATGGGAGAAGACTTACAACAGGCGAGCTGCCGGAGAAACACATCCATGGGAGAAGACTTACAACAGGCGAGCTACCGGAGAAACACATCCATGGGAAAAGACTTACAACAGACGAGCTGCCGGAGAAACACATCCATGGGAGAAGACTTACAACAGGCGAGCTGCCGGAGAAACACATCCATGGGAGAAGACTTACAACAGGCGAGCTACCGGAGAAACACATCCATGGGAAAAGACTTACAACAGACGAGCTGCCGGAGAAACACATCCATGGGAGAAGACTTACAACAGGCGAGCTGCCGGAGAAACGCACGTTCGACTGTTTTAGTGAAAGATTACTAGGATTTACGTGGAAAGTATCTTAAAGTGCGAAAGTGCATAAGATAAAAATATTAGAATTTTTATAAACTAAACCATATTTTTATAAGGAAACCCAATTTATTTTTTTAATATTTGAAAGACATCTTGCACGTACGGGATTCACTTGATTTCGAAAAATCTAATTCTTATTATCCTTCCGTGGAAAAATGTGAAAATGCGGGAAAGAAAAAGTGCATTATTTAATATGGGGGAGGTTCAAATAAGTCATAGAAACTAGTCTACATTTGTATCTCACCTGTTACAAGGTTAATATCAACCATACAGTAGTCTATATTTGTATCTCAAATGTTACAAGGTTATTATCAACCATACAGTAGTCTATATTTATATCTCACCTGTTACAAGGTTAGTATCAACCATACAATAGTCTATATTTATATCTCACCTGTTACAAGGTTATTATCAACCATACAGTAGTCTATATTTATATCTCACCTGTTACAAGGTTAGTATCAACCATACAATAGTCTATATATCTCACCTGTTACAAGGTTATTATCAACCATACAGTAGTCTACATTTGTATCTCACCTGTTACAAGGTTATTATCAACCTTCACCATAAGTACTTCATTGGTTTTACAGATTACCAGGTCCGGCCTGACCTCTAGAACACGGCCCCACAACCTTAAGCAATCAAGGGTTTAATTTGGTTTCTAAGGGATTGTTGACAAAATTTCAAGAAACCCTCAATTTTTAAAATGGCATATTCGAATCACAAAAGCTTTGTTCGATCAAGAATGAATTAAATATCCATGTAAATCTTTCTAAAATTAGATAATTTTTAATATTTTCTACTGCAAGAAAACAATGTAAAAATTATTTAATTTAAACAATTTTCAAATTAGAAATTTGTTTTTGATCAGATACAGATTACCAGGGTATCGTTGTTTTTCTAAATTAAGGGTCATTGTAATTACAAAACATCACTTTCATCCAAATTTTTCCCCAGTATGTAAGGAATGTTTTTAATCGCTGTTTAGTGGAAAATAAGATTATCGGGTAATAGAGGAATTATTGGAGGGATATATATTTTCGCTTTAAAATCTTTAGCTCCTCAGATGCTAGGAATTTTTGCAATCGTTGAAAATACTTGATTTCTTGTTTAAAAAGTTTTTTAAAGAACTAGAAATGGTTAACAACTATTTATCAATAAAATACAGGGCTAAAATTTATATATTTGAAAAGCTCTTGAAAAATGGATGTAATAACTTGTGTCTCATGTTAATATTTGTCAAAATAAATATTTATTTTAGGACTTTGACGTACTTTTTGACCTTCTTTAAATCCTCCCTTGCAACCTAACGATTGAAGATAAGATGTCTAATTTATTTTAATGAGCAGGCCTTGGAAAAGTTGGAGTAGGGACATATATCACACTCACCTATCTCAACTCTAACCACCCCCCATCCATATTACACAAAATAGCCCAATCGGGACAGGGTTAAGAAAAGAATTCAATCGCGGCACACATGAGTTTACTAATAGCTTACACGTTATGAATTTTTTCAGTAAAAATTCGAAGTAAGAATGAATTAAGTACGTTTTTCTATTACTCCCCCCCCCTGCCCCTTAGTCAATTTAAAAGGTCTTCCATGAAACTCGAGCGCTTTAATTTTTCACGATTTGAAAAAACAAATTTTCGATATAAATATTAAAAACTCCTAATAGAACACAATAGTTAAAAATTATGCTAGAGTTACCTTTCACCGGGATTTGGTTTNGGGGGGGGGGGGGGGCAGGAGGATTAGAACTTCGAAACTTTTCTAGCGATGGGAGAGGGTGAAACATTGGAATAAAATCCACTAATTTTTTATGCTTATATAGAAAATAAATCCATGTTTTTTATGCACTCACTTGCTCTCTAATTCGTCAAAATCAAATCAAATGAAGAAATACCTGAAACTCTGGTTCTATGGTTACTGTAAGCTTAGTTTTGATTGCTGTTACAGTTGAAACAGAATCAAAGTCAATAATTAGCTTAGACATTTTTTCTGAAATTTACACAAGTTGATTTTCATAAACTTGATAATAAAAATAACTGTTAATATTACGATAGTATAAAAGATGCAAAAAGGATTTGCACCATTAAAGGTCCATTATTTCTTGTTTGTAGCAGAACCCCCCTGTGCCATGGTCACAATTGTCTTCATAAACACCATCATCGAGGTCATCCTGGTCTTGATGTGATTCAATTTATATTTCTGTTTCATTCATTAGTCTTTTCTTTCAAATCGATTTTCGTCTCTGTCGTGTTCTAACCCTGTCTTCAGATCTGTGGAAAAATTCTTCAAGTTTCTGTATAAAACGTATTTCTCCCGCCTAAGTTCCGTTCGTGTAAACAGATTTCATCATCTTTAAAAGGAGTGACCGGCTATGAAAGGTAGTTAAATTGAGTATGCAGTGGAAGTGGAAAACTTTTTTCGGATTCATTTGAGACATACAGTACTTTTTAAAGATCTGTAAATCCTGAGTTTGAGCGCAAATTCGACGTTCAAAACTCCTGCTTTTGGGGTGGATCTGGATATGTTTTCAGAATTAGTTTTTTTTTTATTTATTCCATCGCTTGTTCCGTCTGTGTAAATAGAGATCATTAGATCATAGAAGTACGAAGCGTTCAAAATTGTTTAATAATTTATTTGTTTCCATACTACATCATCAGAAAGCGCTAGGAGAAACTTGCTTGGGACAGTGAGAGCTTTCATAAGATTGGTAAGTCGAACAGAACCTTTCTTTGCAAACTCACTAAGACCTTCTCAACGGCCTATTGATAGTGTTCCTAATGCTTTGAATCATTTCAGACAGGTTGTTTAAATTGTAATTATTACGTTCGTGTTCCTCCAGTTTGCTTATTTTAATATTCTGTAACTTTAACATTGTTAATTAATTAGGCTAATGAGTCCTAGAAAAAACTTTATGAACTCCTCCCTCTTTTCTAATTTAGTAAACGCTTCTCAAGTCGAATAATCGTCTTCGTTTTCCAGAGTTTTCTGATTCTCACTAAAACTTGAAATCTTTAAAAAGAGGAAGGGTCTATTAATCGTGTACTAGCCAAAATATCAGAGGCATGGATTAAGATTTCCTGGAGAGGGGGGGGGGGGGGAAATCTAATAATTATCGCGCAATGTTTTACGCCCCCCCCCCCCTTCCAGACCATGTACGACCCCATTCATGATGTACATCAAATTATGGCGTTTAGTTGAGATTGATTTCAATTATAAATTAAGACTTTTTAAACAGCGTATAAAATAGCAAATCCACCAATATAAAAAAAATCCGCGATGATAAGTCTCCTGTGCCCTGGGAACATATTAGTTGCAGTTTTTTAAAGCATCATTATGAAGAAAATTAAGGACATTGAAGGATGATAATAATTTTTGGCAGGTTCTACATAAACACCTACCATGCCAATTATAATTCATACTAGACTTTTAAGGCGCTTCGCGGCCATCTTATATTTCAACCTTTAATTGTGGTTTTATCTCTGAAATCTTCTTTTTGTACACAAAGGATTTTTAACTACTCAATTTCGCTGAAAAATGAAATTTGCTAATCGTTTCGACTATAAATCATAGAAGTTCCAGGTGCGCGACGCGATCTGACAAGTAGTTTGGAAGTTTGGTCAAAAAAACTAATTTATTTTTATTAAATTGACGATTATTAGGACGAACGACTTAGAAACCCCGAAATGTCGGCTCAACTATAGAAACTCTATGATTTTCAGCCACCTTTATTTTTGGTCATCCAGAAAAATCCAATTCCTCTTAGTCAATTTCAATTAAGAATTACTAATCTTCATAAATATACTACTTCACTATGTGGATTGTGGATGTGGGCGCGCAGAGGAACCCCATCAAGTACACTGCAGTGGAGAAGAGAGCCAAAGAAAATGAACATAAAGAACTTCCATCATTTTTTATTTATATCCTGTTTTTTATGTTTAGTTACTTTCCTCATCCTCACTTTTTCTGTATTTGTCTAGCTACTTACCGTATCCTTTGAATACAGTGCCGGCATTTTGAGATTTCAAGTTCGTCCATCGTCAAATTCGACGAATTCGTCTGAAAATTGTCAACTATTCACGCTCAAAATTGAAAAATGACAACCTACAGCATATACCAACTTTTGAGTATGAATAGATAAAAATGTTCCGGAGAATTCGTTGAATTTGACGATGGCGGCACTTTATTCAAAGGATACAGTAAGTAGCTAGACAAATACAGAAAAATTAAGTCTCTAAGTCGAAAAATGACAACTTACAGCATAAAGCGACTTTTTGAGTTTATAGATTAAAATGTTCAGACGAATTCGTCGAATTTGACGACGGACGAACTTGAAATCTCAAAATGCCGGCACTGTATTCAAAGGATACGGTAAGTACCTAGACAAATACAGAAAAATTCAGTCTCTAAGTCGAAAAATGACAACTTACAGCATAAAGCGACTTTTTGAGTTTATAGATGAAAATGTTCAGACGAACTCGTCGAATTTGACGACGGACGAACTTGAAATTTCAAAATGCCGGCACTGTATTCACAGGATACGGTAAGTAGCTAGATAAATACAGAAAAATTAAGTCTCTAAGTCGAAAAATGACAACTTACAGCATAAAGCGACTTTTTGAGTTTATAGATGAAAATGTTCAGACGAATTCGTCGAATTTGACGATGGACGAACTTGAAATCTCAAAATGCCGGCACTGTATTCAAAGGATACGGTAAGTAGCTAGACAAAACAGAAAAAGTTAGGATGAAGTCACTAACTAAACAATAAATGATACGTAAAAAATATTATGGAGGTTCTTTATGTTGATTTTCTATGGCTCTCTTCTCCACTGCAGTGTACTTGATGGGGTTCCTCTGCGCGTCCACATCCACATAGTGAAGTAGGATATCTCTGAAAATCACTTTGCATGAAGATTAGTAATTCTTAATTGAAATTGATTAAGAGGAATTGGATTTTCCTACATGACAAAAAAAAAGGTGGCTGAAAATCTTTTAATCTGAATATATTCCTAAAGAACGATTTTTGAACCCCACCCCCCCATCCTATCAATTTTGNGGGGGGGGGGGGCTGAGGGGGTCCAAAAATCGTTCACTAGGACAGACCCTAAATCTGCAATGAAAGTAAATAGTAATCTTTAAAAAAAGTATCAAAACAGTACTTGCTGTCCTTGTAACTTTTTAGGGTCCGTCCTAGTCCTAATAGTCAAAGCGATTAGAGCAACTGTCATTTTTCGGCGAAATTGGGTAGTTAAAAATCCATTAGGTGTTCCGCAGTTTCCCAGAGATAGATGTTCCTAAACCCTTGCTAAAATACTGGGACTGGACAAGCTGTACACTGCACCGTTGTTGGAAAGATTCTTTTCTAATTGAAACCGATTTTCCTACGATATTTCACCATGCCTTTTCCTCGAAATCGTAATTCTGTCATTCATTCTGACACCCATGCATGCTGATTTGAATTTGAAACCCATAAATGCATTTTGTTGCGGCATTCAGATTTGTCGGCAATTGTAATGAGATCGTCTTCGTATAATTTTCTCCTTTTGAAAACGTTTAATTTAATCAATCATTAGTTTAAGAGTGCATCTGCATCTACGGAAATCAAAGAGATATTTTTTCTGTCAGATTTAATCATTTTAAATCAAAACTTTTGAGTATCTTCTCCATGAATGTGATCTTTTTAATTTGACAAAACAACTGCTGCTGAGTGAGGGAGGGGCAATGCGGTCAAAAAAAGGGGTTTTTAATGTTAATGTTAATGTAATGTTAATGTTGCCAATTTACGCGCGCAAATTGTGCCCCCCCTAAACAAAAGCCCTCGTGTACGCCCCTGCCTACAGTGCATCGGACCTACCACAGCTGTTAAAACCACGTGATTGTAGGTCGGATGGGCAGTAGAGGGGATGGGCGTAGGTCCAAAAATACACCATCGAGAAATTGGCCTTTACGTTGAAAAAAATGTTCTCTTTGCTAATTTATGAATCTTTATTTTTCTTAAGAATTTACGATTTTTTTAGTAAGAATATTTTTGGTTTTTGGTTTTTGAGTAAAGAAATATCCCTGCTCGATCCAGGTAGAATATACCAAGGGTCAATATCCTTCACAAAAAAATTGGATTTTTTTCTGCTTCTTTTTATTGAGCTATAATTTTCCATTTGAATGTTTAAATTATGGTTTCAAAAATTGTCCTTGTTTTTCGATGCATTTTTCAAAGTGTACACTGTACTGTTTTAAATAAGCAGACAGAGGCGTTGTTTTTTTTAAATGTATGCAAATTTGTAAATATGTCGAATTCATTGTTTTTTTGTGAATTATCATTATTGTGTAATGGCTTGAATTTTCAGATATAGTTTTCTTTAATTTTAATTTGATAGCAGCTATTTTTGAAGACGTCATGTTTTTTTTTAGTTAATTGTTAATTCATATTTTAATGTCCCAGGAGTGTCCCCTGGTGATTTAGCGTAATATAAAGATTATATATTATTATATAAAGATCTGTTCATTTTCATTTTTAAATTTGGTCGTTTCCTAGCTCATATTTTTAGGACCACGCTATTCGACTCCAGCCCCCGGCCCATCCCCCTTATTAACTGTTCTCTGCATAAAATTAAAGCTTTTTAATACTTCTTGGGTTACCTACTTCTTAAATTAATAAATTAGTTAAATTAATTTTATTTCAGATATTGTAATGGTGAATTAGAATGAATTTCTTGAAGGGTTTAGCGGATAAAGCTAAATCTGCTGCAGATGCTTTAGATTCTCCAACTAAACTTGGGCAAGGTATTATTAATCAACCTTCTTTCCAGGGGGGCTCAGCACGGTATATTCCTAGAAAACGGTTTTTGGCCCCCCCCTCCTAACAATTTTGTACATGGATCTTACAGAAAGTGTATTAACTTAACCTAACCCGTGGCCGCAGCGCTCGGCCCCCTAGCCTGTCCTAGCCGCAGCGCTTGGCCCAGAAAGTGTCTTAACCTAACCTAACCCTAAATAATACTAAAATATACTAATTTATTAATTTCGTCATGTACAAAATTGATAGG